GCATGCTTACAACTCTAGCATTGAAACATAATGACTTAAATTAATACTTTCACTTCTGATTAATGTGGAAGTCTTCCAGTATCTTTTAAGTTTGTTTTCTCAGTATTTGCTAGTCTTTTTTTTTTTTAAGACATAGTCTCACTCTATTGCCCGGGCTAGAGTGCTGTGGCGTCAGCCTAGCTCACAGCAACCTCAAACTCCAGGACTCAAGCAATCCTCCTGCCTCAGCCTCCCGAGTAGCTGGGACTACAGACATGGGCCACCATGCCCAGTTAATTTTTTCTATATATTTTTAGTTGGCCAATTAATTCTTTCTATTTTTAGTAGAGACAGGGTCTCGCTCTTGCTCAGGCTGGTTTTGAACTCCCGACCTTGAGTGATCCTCCCGCCTCAGCCTCCCAGAGTGCTAGAATTACCGCACCTGGCCTGTCTTAATTGATGTGTTAATGAATTAACTTTTATTGCTCTAAGCATAAGTGACCTGAATCAAATCTCATTTCTCTAAGATTTTCCTATGGTTTCTCTTTAAACTCTTCATATATATACACACATAAAATATTAACATTATTATCCTTAAAGTATTTTATTTTACTTTTTCTTAAGCATTTTGTGATTTAATAATCCTGTAATATGCTAACCCTAATTAATATTTAAATATTAAGTAGCCTTTTCTTTATTTTCAAATGCATTTTATTTAAATTTTTATTCTTCTTTTTTTTTTTTTTTTTGAGACAGAGTCTCGCTTTCTTGCCTAGCTAGAGTGAGTGCCGTGGCGTCAGCCTAGCTCACAGCAACCTCAACTCCTGGCTTAAGCAATCCTACTGCCTCAGCCTCCTGGAGTTGCTGGGACTACAGGCACGAGCCACCATGCCCGGCTTAATTTTTTATATAGTATATATTAGTTGGCCAATTAATTTCTTTCTATTTTATAGTAGAGACGGGGTCTCGCTCAGCTGGTTTTGAACTCCTGACCTTGGCAATCCCCCGCCTCGGCCTCCCAGAGTGCTAGGATTACAAGCGTGAGCCACCGCGCCCGGCCTTAAATTTTTATTTCTGATTAAAATTTGCTATAAATATCCTCTTTTTTAAAGATACAGGATCTTACTCTGCTGCTGTAAGTATTGAGAATGCAAATATTATAATACCGATAAAACAAATTTACAGAATCTCCTAAAAATTTTTAGCTTGCATTGCAAATATTGGAAGACCCCATTAAAATATTAAATATTATTGGAATGGCTACACCATTAATGAAAACATGCTTCTTAGTTCATAATAATCATAATAGTTATTTTAAAAGTGCCTATAAAATAAACTATTCCATATTGCATATAGCATAATAATTCTGAAGAAAGTCCAGGTGCAATTTGATTCTTAAATGTGAAAAATATTTTTTTAATAGAAATTATTACCAACTTGTGAGAATTTTATGGATGTTTTCAGTTGACAAAGTATATTGAAATGATGTGCTGCATTTTAGAAGCCAAGTAAGATTGCTATGGATGGGCCGGGTGTGGTGGCTCACTCCTGTAATCCTAGCACTCTGGGAGGCTGAGGCGGGCAGATTGCTTGAGGTCAGGAGGTTGAAACCAGCCTGAGCGAGACCCATCTCTACTAAAAATAAGAAAGAAATTAATTGACCAACTAAAAATATATATACAAAAAAACTAGCCGGGCATGGTGGCACATGCCTGTAGTCCTAGCTATTCAGGAGGCTGAGGCAGTAGGATCACTTGAGCCCAGGAGATTGAGGTTGCTGTGAGCTAGGCTGATGCCATGGCACTCACTCTAGCCTGGGCAATAAAGTGAGACTCTGCCTCAAAAAAAAAAAAAAAAAAAAGATTGCTATGGATGAAATTTTGAGGACCACATGTATCACATTATAACCAAATTTTACATTAGGGACACATGAAATTAGAAGTAGCTACAGTTGATTTATTTTATAGTATTGCCACTAACAAAATAGTGAAATAATTTTATTAACCTTGATACTGTTGGTAATTAAGATTGGGAGCAACTTTTATTTATAAAGTCTGATATTGAGTAATTGGTTATGATAGGATTATCATATAGACATTATCTCTTCAGTGCCGGGCTTAAAGAATTCCTGTTAAATGATAAGAACATAATAAAAATATCACAACATCATATTTATATAGTTATTAAATATTTTACTTTTCAGAAAATGATGAAGGAATGTATGGTAAGACTTATATATTGTGAAATGCTTGGATATGATGCTTCCTTTGGCTATATACATGCAATCAAGTTGGCCCAACAAGGAAACCTCTTAGAAAAAAGAGTAGGTATGTATACGTTTAAGACTGTCATACCTTAATGTTGTCCTTAAATTTCTAATTACTATATAAAGCAAATGATGGCAATTATGTAGTATGTTTTTAGGACACTGCATTACAATTTCCAAAACTTTAAAAGGCAACACTTCAGAAACTCAAAGCCTATAAATGAAATCAGTTTTTCTGATTCATAGCATTTTGGAGTTATAGAGAAGATTAAAAATTACTTGGTCTTGTCATGGTGGTTAGATGACCATATATATTTGTCATAACTCATTGAATTGTGCTATTAAAATGAAATAATTTTCTTGTATGTAGATTGTACTTCAATAAAGTTGATTTTATGAAGTCTGTCTAACCCCATCAAGTTCATGGTCAGAAATGTTTCTTTATAGAATAAAAACTGAAATTGATTAGAATAATTTTAAATATTGTGTTCTTAGTTTCACAAATATTAGCTCTGAGGATCACAGGTATCTTTTTAAAAATTTTGTTTCTGTAGTCAGAGACTATTAGGGCTATTAGGAAAAGTTATTTTAAGGACTTAAATATTTTATTCATAAAGATTCAGCTTTATATCAGAATCCCAAGAAGGAAGCACTTTAGAGTAGCATAGTATGGAACATGTTCTTTATTCAGATGGGTTGATACTGTCATGTTATAGAGAAATAGCATTCTTCACAAATTTATTGACCTGAGAGGATGGGGTAGAGGTAGGAGATGTCATGGTAAAGATTCTGATACTATATGCACATATTATTCTACTTTTTGAGTCTCGCTTCACCCAAAATACTCTTCTATTTTCTAGATTTGTTATTTTGTTTCATCAAAGTAGAATGTCCTTTAGCATGCTGTTTCTCTCTTGCCATATTCCAAATCAAGTTTTAACTCTTTTGAGATCACTGAGGTAGCTCCTACCATCTGTTACTTTAAGGGGTGGGGAACCTTTGGCCTTGGGGCCAAATGCAGCCTTTGGATGGAATCCAAATTTTACAGAACAAATCCTTTGGGATTTGTTCTGTGAAGTTTGGATTCAATCGAGGGGCTGTACTTTGGGATCTGGAGGGCCATAGTCGGCCTTGAGGCCGCAGGTTCCCCACCCTTCTAAGGTCCCTAGACAGAACAATTTTACTGAGTTATTAAAGTAGTTTTCATTAGTCATTTGCTTTTCTTAAAACTTTGATTTCTCTTAGGCTTTATACAAAAGTGGAATTTCATTTTACTAAATTTTATTTCAGATAGACTTGTAAAGCCCGTCCAGTCATCTTCACTGTTTTTCTTATCACCTCAAACCTTAAAAATTCACATAAGTTAGAGAGTTTTCATATGTCTAAAGTCTTTCTAATGATGTTGCTTTTTTAGCATCTGAAAGGTTATATATTTACAGTATTTTTCTCTTCTTTTGTTTTCTAAGAAGGAATATCAAAAGGGAACTTTCAACCATTATTGGAAAATTAAACTTCATCCTTTTCATTTATAAGAAGAAGCATGTGAAATGTGAATACATTTGGAAGTGTCCCAAATTTAGCCATGAGAGGAGACATTGATGAGAGATTCCAGACAGAAGTCTGGTATTTCTTTGCCTCTTTTCCCATCTTATTTTTATTTTTCATTTCCTTTACTTTTCCACTTCTCTTTTCTCACTATTTCTTTCCTTTCTAATGTTTTCCTTCAATTTTGAACCATTTTCTTTTACTCTTCTTTTGTGTTAGGTCATAGCAGTTGAGAAAACATTGACAGCTCTCTCAGTGTTATCTATTTTATTAAAGACTTTGGAAGACAGATCGAAAGAAATTAACCTTTGATAGTGAAATTTTGGCTTGAGTAGAAAGATATTTAAGAGCAGAAAGTCTTCTTAGGGACTGTTTATAGCATTTATTTATTAAGTATTCATGGAAGAGATACGAGGGGTACCCACTGTATGCCAGGTGCTGTGGTCAAGCATACAGATGGATAACTTACATTACTCTCATTTTGAGGATCCCTGCAATGGCCGAAGAGAGGATAGAGACAGACATGGGAATTAGAAGCTACAATGTAATGTTGTAGTTGCCTTCCGCCAAGACATGAACTGTGTGTTGTGCTCATATAATCAGGCATAAGAACAATCATGGAAACCTTTGTTTCCCTGGTCTCAGACTTTGAGGAAGAGAATATGCTGATTAAATTTCATATGAGAGTTCTGAAATGAAGCCACCTTGCAACCTGTTTAAATATTTCATGGCTAGAGTTTAGGTAGACTTAGCTTTGGTTCTGTCATTTTTGTTTTAGCTTCCTTTGGCATGAAGTTGGGCTCTTTCTTGTCTTGTTACTTGACTGTCTTCCATGTTAGCATAGGCAGGTAATTTTGAAAAGAATAGATAGTCAATAAATATAGATAGTTGGTAGTATAATTATTTTGTACAGCTATTGCTACATTTTGCTTCTTAGACTTACATGTAATTTTTTCATCTTTAATTTAATTTAATTTTTAAAATATGTAAAGCATTATGGCTCACTTTCACCTCTAGCCCCACCACCCATTTTGCTCCTTACCTTCATATGTAACCATTTTCATTAGTTTCTGATTAATCTTTCTACTGTTGCTTTTTGAAATCAGCAAGCAAAGTATGTGCACATACTCAGTCTCTCTTCCATGAAGGGCAGCATATTATATGCTCTATCTTCACCCAAAGATAGCATACCATGTAGATTATTCTACATCTTGTTTTGATGTCTTCATACTTTATACAGTTGTATAATTTTCACTGGGTAGATGTACCATGGTTTTTCAAGCAGATCCCTGTTGGTGGACATGTGGGTTGTTTTTTATTTTTTGTTCTCATAAATAATGTTGTAGTTAATAACCTTGTATATATTTCATAGTTATGGAAGCTTATTTATTTATTTTTTTGGAAGCTTATTTTAAAGATGACCTCAGAGTCATTTTTATTGAGAACTTTATTTAGAAAAATATTTTCTTGCCAACAAGAAAGACATATATCTGTAGGCATCATATATTCTTAATATATGTCATTGAGTGGAAATCATTTTTTTAAGATATAATTTAAACCTTCCATATGTGTTCACTCTGGCACTATTAATCCATCCACTTTCCTGAGATTTAAGGTTAGCTTTGGTGCTTTCTCTGATGTAGAATGCCTTCTTATTTATTTATATATTTGTTTATATATTGGGGAGGCACAGCCTTCAGTACAAGTGAAAGTGCGCGCTCCCTTGTTTTTTGTATGAATATTGTTGAATAAATAAATATCAGTATCCATTAAGTGAGGCATTATGTTAAATGCTTTATCTTATGAGATAGTATTTATCTTAACTTTAAAGATATTAAAACAGGCTCAGAAAGTTCAAGTCACTTGTCCAAGGTCACAGAACTAATAAATGGTGGAGCCAGAACCCAAATTTCTATGAGTCAAAGCCTATATTTTTGTCCTATACCTCACTCTTAGTCATATCAGATATACTCTCTAATCATAGTTATTCTTTGCTTCCCTGAAAATATTTTCATTTTTTGAGTCACACAGTGTCTTTTTCCCTGTTTTTGGATTGTCAAAACAGTTAAGATATTCTTTGTAACAGAAAGAATTAATGTTTCATTGAGATGGTCTTTGGATTAGTTTGTTGACCTTGATATTGGTGACTTGGGAATGGGTGATACCTCAGCTGAGCAGATGAGGTCTCAGCAATCTGATAAGATGTAATCTCTGCTTTAATTGCTCTCTGGAGTTTTCTTTATTTCTTTTTTGGCCGTGGTCATATTTTTTTCCTCTCTTATGATTGTGGGAGTAATAGCTCTTCTCTGACCTTCAGTGACAGTGTTGCAGTTGATTATGCTGCCACTTCTCAATTGTGAGAATAGGAAGTTTCTGTTTTCCCATGTTCTACAACAGACACAGACAGTATGGATGGTGGGTAATAATGGGGATGGTTAGCATTAGAATCCCTAATGAACCCTGGGCAACATGGTAAGACCCAATTTCTACAGAAACTAAAAAAATTAGTTGGACATGGTATTTGCCGTAGTCCCAGCTACTCGGGAGTCCTAGGCAGGAGGATTGCTTGAGCCCAGGAGTTTGAGGTTCTGTAGAACCATGATCAGGCTGCTGCACTCCACCCTGGGTGACAGAGTGAGACAGTCTCTAAAACAAAAAAACTCTAATGAAAGGGCTGAAAGAATTGAGATGAACAATGAAAAACAATGAGGATGGAGGGAGTCAGGCCTCATGGCAGACTATGTGGAGAGGCGGTACAGCACAGAAGTTTACAATCTGGGCTGACTCCTACTGTCTGGGTTTGAGTGCTGTTCTACCATATAATAGCTGTGAATTTTGGGAAATTACCCTTTTTGGGGCCTCATTATTATATTGGGATAATAATACCTACTTCACAGAGTTGGGAGGATTAAATGAAGTAAGGCTTATAAAGTACTTGACCCATAGTAACTGTCTAGTAAATGTTAGTTATTTATATGAAGGGCGATAGAGAAAATGGCATGGAATATCTAGATTCCATGTACATGGCATTTGTCATGATATAAATATATATCCTCAGTCCTAAAATGTACTTTTTAAATGTTTTAATAGTATTAAAATAAAAATGCTAATGTAAGCCAATGAGTACATTTAATGTGGTAGACAGAGTTTCTTTCATCAACTGTAATTAATTTAATTTAGAAAATAAGGTAATATATATAAAGCAACATACATTACCTTATTTTCTATATATATATGCTATATATATATAGCATATATATGCTATATATATACATATATACATATATATGTTACATATATAGCATATATATATATGTATATTCCTAGGCTCAAGCAGTCCTGCCTCAGGGTCCCAACATGCCTGGCTGACTTTTATTTTTTTGGAGAGATAGGATTTTGCTATGTTGTTCAGGCTGGTCTCAAATTCCTGGCCTCAAGCAGTTCTCCCTCCTTGGCCTCCCCAAGCTCTGAGATTACGGGTATGAGCCACTATGCCCAGCCAATATATTTAATATGTGATTTACATCATATGAGTTGGTATTAGGTAGCTCATTCAATACAAATAGCCAGTAACTCACTACTAACTGTAATAACTATTGGTTTTTGAATAATTATGTTTAGCTGTAAGAGAATGTTTTGATTGATAATATAGAGATTTGCACAAAAGATAGGAGACATCTCTTTTTAATGTCATTTATAGGACTTTAAGTTGGTATATATAGCCTCTTTTCCATTTCAGGTGTATCTTGTGAAATACATAATTCTGAAAGATTTCAGGATAAAGAACACCTGAAATCTTCCTTACTGAAGTTTCTTTAACTTCATATTTTACAATTTGTTTTTATGTTTACCTGTAACTTGTATTTTTGACACTTAAAACTTAGAATATATCTAAAATTGCTTCAACTTCTTGAGAAAGGTTTATTTTTGGTAGGTAGTAATGAGACTTTCCCCCTCAATTTTTATAGGTTATTTGGCTGTTTCTTTATTTCTACATGAAAGTCATGAATTGCTGCTTCTCCTTGTGAATACAGTTGTAAAGGTACTGTATTGTATGGTGGTTAATATGAAGTCTTAAATTATTCTAACGGGTATCTGATGTTTCTCCTCAAATCATATAGAATTATTAATAGATAATTTTGGAAGAAGCTGAGCTTAAGAAAGATCTTTTAGTTCAGTTTCTTGCATCTATAAAATGGGAATAAATAATAGAACTTACAGAGTTGTGAGGGTAAAATGAAACACTATGTGAAGTAGTTAACTGCTGCTGTTGCTGCTGCTGTTGTTATTTACTTCATTTTAAAACACACAGAATTATAATTCAGATCTCCAGGCTCTTAGTCAGGGATACTTTCCATGCGTTGTCTTTTACTCTAGGATCTATCTTAAAGGGATATAGATATAAACTGAATAATTAAAGTCTTTAAAAAAATCTAAAAAGTCATTTAAAAAGAGAATAGACTATAACTAACAGAAATGTACAGATAATAAAAACAATTTAATCCATACTTATGATATTATTTCCTGTTAAACTTCTATTCAGTATTGATAATGAGATATAATTGAATTGTTGAACCTTTTCCTGTTATCTTGTATCAGCTTTTTGATATATGAGAGTTTGTGTCTATGTGTGTTTAGTATTTTCTGAATTTTAATTCATATACTATATTAAGGTTACTAAGTTTACTAAATTCTTTCCAAACTTTCAAAACATATTTTTATAAATCATTAGAATGATTTGTAAGCCATATACATGTATAAGTATATATTAATATATGAATTTTATTGTGTCTATTCCAGGATATCTTTTTTTTTTAACCTTCCACTCATATTACTGATTAACAAGAAAAATTCATAAAATTGTTTTGTTATTGATTTGGAAGAGTTTTAAAGGCTATAATAAAGGAGACTACTTTGGGCAATATCAGAACAGAAATACAGTTTCCTTTTGTTTCAGATGCTTTTTGGCAATGTTTATCTATTGACTCTATTAAGGCAAATGAAACAAATAGAGATATTCCTATAAAATATGATGTAAGTGTTGAGTTTGCCATCCCTAGTTTCAGAATTTACACTGAATGTTTTCTATGCTTAATAACTATTCCAGGACTTGCAGAGCACTAACCTAGTAGAAGTATGTATGGCACTTACTGTCGTCAGCCAGATTTTCCCTCGAGAAATGATTCCAGCTGTTCTTCCATTAATAGAAGATAAACTTCAACATTCTAAGTGAGTAAATTCTTTTTGGATAGATGTCTACATCATATACTTCAAAACAGAAATTTATACTAGAGAATTTATTATACTTTTAATTTAATGCTACCAGGATAGAGAATATTCTTCGACTGCCAGATATAATACAAAAAATCCCCAGTAGGATTGTCCTTATTTTTATATGGATTTAGAAAAATGTTAGACAGCTTTATAAAGTTAAATTAAGAGACAGTGAGGCATCACTTTTGACATGTTTGCTGTTGTTGTTGTGAGCACTGCTAGCATAGTCTGCAAATAGGAGATATGTAGAAATAGGCATAAGAGAGAATAATAAGGAATATACTTCCTTGGAAACTACCTTGTGAACATAGGAGAGTTTCTATGCTTTTGCTTTTGTGTGCTAGACATTATCTGCTATAAATAAAGTACAAGACTAGTATATAGTTTTCCTCTTTATTATCATGGAGTTTTTGAAACATGAACTGGGCAAGGAGAGGAGTAACATCTTTTTATTCTATGTGTGTCCCGCTATACTCCCCTCCCCTAAAGTATTTGGAATCTGCTTGCCTATGGTATAAAAAAATATATTAAAAGCTACTACTTTAGAATGAGAATGCTAGATTTTTCATATTAATAAAGAGACTTAAATATTACCAGGTGAAATTACCTATTACTGATTTAAACTTATCGTTTGTTGACTCTTTCCTCAGTTTCTAGAGATATGGCTTTTAAAAACGGAATTAAAGCATTAAGAAATTTGTTTATCTTATTTTTTCTGATTTCAAAAGTAATATATGCTTGTTACAAAAAAATTCCATAACTAGAGAAATATATAATTTGGGCAAAGTCTTGAGATCTTACCTCTTAGAGATAGCCACTTTTTATAGTTTGGTGTATTAGAATAAAAAAATTAATAATAAATATATCATTTTCTCTTTCTTTTTAGGTTAAGGTAATAGGTGATATTTTGAAGTCATCTGGCCATAAACTTTTCAAAGTAAATGCCTGACAATTCAGATTGACTTGTTTAGATTTCATTTTTTGTCTTTAGGGAGATTGTACGAAGAAAAGCTGTTCTAGCATTGTACAAATTCCATCTCATTGCTCCTAATCAAGTACAACATATCCATATTAAGTTTCGGAGAGCACTCTGTGACAGAGATGTTGGGGTCATGGCTGCTTCCTTGCACATATACCTTAGGATGATTAAGGTAAGTTGGAAATGTCAGCAAATACTGAGTAGTTACCATTAGAAAAATATAATTGTGGAATTAAAAGAAAGCTCAGATATTTCAGTAAAATGCTTAATTAACATTTTATATTTTTATTATTGACTTTTTTATTAGTAATTTTTGCAAGGTGTTGATAGCATGAGTTGTAGGCACATTACCAAATTAATTTTTTTAAATGCCTAATATTTTTTCATGTTACTAAAGAAGTATGGAAAAATGGTAGTTGTGGAAAGTGATTTAAATTTACAGATCTGTGGTTTTTCAAGCAGTGATTCTCTTTTATACAGCTTCATGGGATGCATAACAGCTTGTAGAAATGAGGAGAGCCGGTGGGGGTTGTGCAAGGTATAGACTGCAGTGTTGACTTCATACATTGATACTGTGTCAGACGAGGAAAGAGGGTTGAATGGTATGGTAAAAAATTTTTCTAAATGATGATCATGGATTTATACTAATTCAGTTTCAGTGTATTGCCTGAAATCCTTTGTGTCCAAAATATATATTTGTGAGAGATTTCATGAGTACCTACTATAACAAAATTAAATATGCTACTGAACTCATTTAAAGTTATACCGAAGCTTGTCTTCTCTTTTATGCATTGTGTTCTAAAATAGTAAAGTATAAATAGATATTTGACATTAAATCTTATTTTCTAAAGATTTACTAAAATTTGAAAGATTTATCATTTCCCTTCAAAAAATTCACCCATGATACATGATAAAAATTACAATGAAGAATCTAATGTTAACTTTAAGGAGTATGTAGTTAGTTTCCCCAAAGAGATTAGTCAGATAGATAATCAAAGTATACTCATTCAGAAACAAATATTTTAAAATACTGTATGGCTAATTAATTTTTAATTGGCAGGCTTACTGTATGATTTTGGGGGCTTTGAATGTTTAAGTAGTCTTGGCTGTGCTCTTCCATCCAGAAAATATTTAACTCATTTACATGAAAAGTCTTTTGGAAACGGAGTTCAGAGATTGCAAATATGCCTTGATTTTCATACAAAGTGGAGGTATTAATGCCTCCTTTTCAGTATGCCAATTCTTTTCACTTTTTGCTTTAATTGCTGATATTGGCAATTAAGGATTCTAATGTAATTATAAGAACTTTTGAAATGTGAGTGTGTGGGGAAAAGTAGAGAATAGTGGAAACTTCTCTGGGGATGATTCGACTTTGAATGGGGTAGCCAGAGGAGTTTCGTCATGGAAGAAAATGATACATGTTAGAGTACTGTTTCATTAAATGTGAACATAAACTTTTAAGTGAGCATGTATTAAGTTAGGCATTTCAACCAGGTCTATTTTACATTTGATAAGACATTATTATTAACAGAAAGTTGTTTTTTTTTCTTTTCGGATATAGGAGAATTCATCTGGATATAAAGACTTGACTGGCAGTTTTGTAACTATTTTGAAGCAGGTGGTTGGAGGAAAGCTCCCAGTAGATTTCAATTACCACAGTGTGCCAGCACCATGGTTACAAATTCAGCTCTTGAGAATACTAGGACTTCTAGGAAAAGATGATCAAAGGTAAACTATTCTAAGTAAGTTTACTTGATGACCTCATACCATATGATAGGTTTAGGCTTTAGTCACCTAGATGTTTCCTGATAAGCCAGATTCTCCCAATGCTTAATTGGCTTAAATCTTAAATAAATCACTGTAAGAAGTGCTTAAACTCTTTCAGAATTGCTGGGACAATCCTGCCTGTCTGCTTATCTAAATCCTATTAGTTGGTATCTCTGAAACACCATCTCCTCTGTGAAGCTTTCTTAATTGTTCAGGGCTTGGGAAATTTTTTCTCTCAAGGACCACAAAGCCTAAAATAACAATTATTTTTGTGGGCCACATGTTATCTGTTGTGTCTATTCAACTCTGTTGATATAGCACGAAAGTTGCCACAGATAGTGCATATATGAATGAGCATGGCTGTGTTCCAAAAAAAAGTTTTATGGACATTAAAACTTGAATTTCATATAATCTCCATGAAATGTTTTTTAAATTTTTTTCAGCCATTTGAAAATGTAAAAACTTAGCTTGCCACTATACAAAAACAGAAATCTGGTCAGATTAGGCCTGCAAGCTGGACTTTGCTAACCCTTGTTATAATTGGATGTGAGTGCTTGACCTTCTTAATTCATTTATCTGGATTATTCTTTTAGCCAATAACTTAAACTTTTTAGTGGGTGTCTTTCCAGCTACATACATGTATATTCTTTTAACTTTTTATTTTGCCGTACCTTTTCAAACTTAAAAACTTCCAAAGTTATCAGAATAGTACAAGGAGCTCCCTTATACTCTGTACCTAGATTCATCAATTTATTTGCATTTGCTTTCTCATTCTCTGTCCCCTTCCTTCCCTTTCTCCCCTTCTTTCTCTCCTTCTTCCCCTCTCTCTCCTTGACTCCTCTCTCTCTCTCCCTCTCCCTCTTTCTCTCTCTGTATGCATGTGCATTTGCATCTATACATACATATTATTTTTATTAAAAAATTTTTTTCTAAACTGTTTGATAGCATATCCAACTAGATTTTTGTTCCCTTGAGAGTAAGGCCCTTCACTTGAGTCCCTGATATGTTTTTGTCTTGAGAAAATATTTGCTAATCAGTATTCTTATTTGATGGATATCATTACTTTTTATGCCATAGGGTACCTTTTTATTCTAATTCTTTAGCCTAGCTTTATAAAGGGACCATCCTAGGTTGTTGCTCCTAGAAATCCCTCCTCAATTTCATGTCAGAATTCATTTGTCTGTGAGCTCCTAATCAGCACTAATTGGGCTGAATCACTCTTGGTATTACTCTGTTACTTATTTCTGTGTTTATGAATCTCTACTCCTGATTGAAACCTGAATTGAGAACCTAGAGGTTATAGAGCAGGCACATACATTAGAAGTGTTTGTCCTAATTATATTTTATTTTACATAATTCCAGCCTATCCTAACATGGAGCTCTAGTTGGAGTTCACTGGGATTCTGTTTTAAAATCACTAATTTCATATTAATGCATCAGATCTTACTGGTCTAAAAAGATTTAGTGCCATCATATGTTGTCAGGAAGTAACTTTGGAGGCATTTAGTGAATTTATTTAGTAAATTCACTAACTCATTATCTTTCTTCCTTCTTTCTTTCATGGATGAATTTGGAGAATACATACAAAGATGAATAAGTTAGTCCTTACTTTCAAAGAGCTCAGTTGAATAGTAATTAGCCTTAATTAAATGAAAAAATAAAGAGCGGAATTCTCTTATAAAGATGTGGAACATTAGAATGTTTCCTATTTTGTTGTCCCCACTCTAATGAGATTTTATGTTAATACAAATCTTGTATTTTGTAGGACATGATTAGCTCAATGTGGCAAAGTAAAAATGTTGTTATTTTATAACAGGATTCTAAAAGTTTTTAACTGAAAGAACCAATTTGCTGGAAAAGTCTGTTACATTTATGGTTTCATATATATCTATTATTTGAATATTTTCCTGTGTTTTATAGCTTTGTGCTTCTTAGGTTGTTAACATGTAGCTTACTTGTGTCCACAAATGTTTCTACATTTCATGTGGTTAATTATGATTCTCATGGCAGACATTGGCTTTTAAAATTGAGAAACTAGACAGACTATAATCTAGGTGTCGTATTACCAACTTTTTTAGGGGAAGAGTTGGTAATGTATCCTGTATGGTTATCTTCTGTGGAAGAAATGCTTACATAATAAAATGATGGATTTTAGAACATGGTTCTGGATTCTTATTGGATATTTATACTTCAGTGAAGGTAGAATGAATGTACATGCATTTAAAATTGAATTTTCTAGCTGTGGTTTTGGAAAAAAGGAGAACTTTCCTGGAGGAGATGTAACATACTTGATAACTAATTTATGTAGCCCCAAATTATGTTGATATTTTTATTTGTTTTATAGCACAGTTTCTCTGCAAGATCACTGTATGTATCTGATTTCGCTGCTATTTTTTTTCATTAGTGTATTTTGAATTTGTAAAACATACAGCATACCAGCTGAGAAGCCACAGTTTTTCATATTGGCCTCTTGGAGAGGATTTTTCTCTTGTAGGCTTGGAGGCAGAGTGCTAGGGCTCCATAAGCATTGCACTTTTTTTATTTTATGAACAATATCTCCCTCAATGCAGTTGTTGTAATTAGTGACCATAAAGACATATGAATGGTACAAATCTGTTAATTTTATAAAATATATTTTTTTATATTTAACATAAATGTAAGTTAAAATTTTCTTACTGAAGAACCTTCTCAGGGAAAGACTAGTATTTGAATACTTTTGAAAAACTATCTGGTTAAAATACAGATAATATACTGTCTGGAATAATCTTGATATATGAGGTATTACTATAATTAAGTAACTTAAATATTTTGTTGCAAAGAAAATTATAAAAGATAGTAAGTTCAACCAAATACAGACTTGTTTTGTAAACTAGGCACAAGTGAGGGAAGAACTGATTGACTTTCGTATATCTCATTGGTTAACTATTAATAATTAACTCTGATAAAACAGAAAGTTATCACAAAGCAGGAGGTTCAGATCATGAAAAAGAACAAATGAAATCTTTAAGAAGTGAAATTTGAAAACTTCATAAAATTAATTTCTTTCACTTCTGTAGATCCTCACTTTTAAAGAGAGAGAAGTTTGAAAAACTATGTTTTTATTGGGTTAGAATACTGTAATTCCACTGCAAATAAAATATCTTTTAAACAGGACAAGTGAATTAATGTATGATGTTCTTGATGAATCCTTACGAAGAGCTGAGTTAAATCACAATGTCACATATGGTAGGTAATATATGTAAATGCTACCCTAATGACTAATGGTGTTTTTTAGTATTGCAGCTAAATCTGAGTTAGAATACTGTAAATTTCAATAGAGTTTTATACACTAATTTTAAGGTGGTTCTTTGGGTTATTATTTTTTCAATGTAAGTGTTTAATAACTAATAGATAGCAGTAATGTGAAATTATGGCATGTTCTAAATGTTGATCTAAATTTATTATAATTGTCTTTTTATTGAAAACATTTATCCAGTATCTAATTGTGAAGATAATAGATTTGTTCCATATTTGGTGAAAGTTTACAGTGTTTGAGGATAGTTCTTAAATAGATCAGTCAACTAGTCGTCAAATATTAAATTTCTGTTTTTTGTCAGGCCCTGTGCAAGGTGCATAGAGTGCAGCCATGAATAAAACAGTATTACCATGGGGCTTACAGACTGGGTGAATGGAAAGGGACAGGCATTAAATTAATGTTACAAAAGAAAATTACAGGGTATGGTGGAGAATACAGCAGCTAGTTATAGGTGAGGGATAGAATAAGGAATTTTTTCCTGAAAAAGTGCTATTCAGGAAGATATCTGAAGGATAAATCGGATATAGCTAGAAATATATAGAATAAAAATGTACTACTTGGTGAGGAGACAATAAACCATTTTATACAATTTTTAAAAATTAGTGGTAGGAGACAAGAGTAGGTTGGGGGAAGAAGGTGGAGAACTGAGAAAGTAACCAAAAAAACTTCCAATTTTAACAGCTAGAGGGAGGAACTATTCTATTTGATCTGAGAAAGCTCAGTGAAGAAATTGAGATTTTTGGAGCTATTTAAAAGATGGAAGTAAAACAATTTGAATTTTGCATGCTTGTGAGGAGAACAGTAGAAAAGGCATTGAGAGATAGAACTCAAATGTGAAGTCATTTCTTTCTTTTTTTTTTTTGAAATCAGGATGGCAGAAAGAAGTCATTTCTTAATCTGGTAAAATACCATGAAGTAGGGGATGAAGAGCATTACTTGTTCTTTCAGACCATCTTAAACTGTGGATTTTTAAGAACCCTGGTTGTAGAAGTGTAGGGTAGACCAGAGGGCAGAAATTGAACTAGGTTAACTGAAATAAAATGTAGCTGACAAAGATACAGTAGGAATAAGGAGCAAGGATTACATGTATGAGACCAGTACAGGAAAAATAATGCATATAGTAGTGATTTGGGATGGTAACATTAAAGGATAGATAATATTTTGCATGTATAAATGGTAACTAAGGCAATAAAGGTGCTTTATTTGTTCAATCAGTAGTTACTGAGTGCCTATGAAACAAAAACTTGATTTTGTTTTAAACTAGGTACAGATTGAGGAAAGCATTGATTGATGTAATGTTTTCCTCCTTGCTAAGTGTGGAAGGTAAAAGGAAGAATAAGGTAGACACAGGCCCTGTCCTTATGAGTGTACCATGTAAAAAACAGTTGATATTATTGAGGTTCCTGCTATGCAGTGAGAATAAGGGGCAGTAGATGAGGGATGACCATTATTGAGACAGATGGTTTGCCTAGGAGCTGTCAGAAGATCCAGAAAAATACCAGAACTTTTCCAGACAGTTAAAGCAATTTAGAATGTTTTGTTGGTGATAGAATCAGTATCCAGGATAAGGGTTTGAAAGGCTCTCAAGAAATTCTGTTTAAAAATCAGCTAAGAATCTGCCTTTTTTCCTTACAGAAAGTTTTTTTTTAAAAATAATTGACATTTCAGCTTTAATTTTTTTATTTTTTTGAATAGGTAATATATGCACATGGTTCAAAATTCAAAAGGTACAAAGGGTATACAATGAACAGTAAGTCTCCCTTCCACCCTTATCACCCACCACCCAATTCCCCTTCCTAGAGATAACCACTGTTATCTGTTCCTTTTGATTTGGAAAATACCGTATACCTGAGGAAATATTTTTTAATGTTCTCTACTAGGACTCTTCTTTTATTAAAATTGCTTGAACCAACACCAGCAATTTATTTCTTTGCAGGCTGTTGTTCCAGTGTTTCAACCAGGCCACAGAAACCTTATCGTTTCTGTTGTTTTGTTGCATTATTTAGCTTTTCAAAGTTATACTTTCACCCCATATTTATATTGGTACAGTTTATAGCTTATATTGATTATACCAGTAGCAGAGTATTATCTAGTAATCCTAATATAAATATTTTATTGGTTTAAGAATGTGAATCTTAATTATAAGCTTCATAAGGGCAGGGACTGTGTCTCTCTTACTGACCAGCAAATTCTAGTAGCTGGCACTATGTTAACTAATGAGCAGTATGCTTTATTTGAAGTAAAGGAAGAGAAAGTTATTTTATTCATCAGTTATCTAAGTGGGTTTTAGTCTTAATACTTTCTAAATCATATTTATGAAAGTTCTATAATTATAACTTACCTCAGGATCAAATCAAGTAATAAATTACATTAACATTTATTGAGTATTCGCTATGTGCCAGGCATTGTATAAAGTGGTGTAGAGGATATGAAGAAGTATAAGGTGTAAGGAATTTACAATATAATGGAAAAGATAACTTATTCATGAAAACATAACACCAGTATAAGGCAGAATGCAAAGGGGTGCTTCAGGGAGTAAGTGTTATAGGAGTTCAAAAGTGGTAGAGATCTTTGTTTTTCGTTGGTTTTGTTTTTTCCATCTTTTTAAAAATGTAAAAACCATTCTTATTTCACAAGGTTACAAAAATAGACTAAAGGCTAGATTTAGCAGTAGTTTGTGCATTCCTGCCTTATGTGATTTGTCAGTTGACCAAGGCCCTCTTTGTTTAGTTTGCTCATTGCATGAATCATAAAGCCAACTTTTTTTCACAGCGCAAAGTAAAGACATTTTATAGCACAACATCTGAATATGCAAAATATCTTTAGGTGTTCAACTAACTAATTCTGTAGTTTTTCCTTAATTAAAGTCAATTTCCTTCTTCAAAATTAATATTTCTGATTTCTTCTCCGTCTTTCTCCTCCTCCTCTTAGAATACATTTGTAAAAATTTATCTGTACATTAATTGATAGGCAGCATAGTCTAAAACATTGCTAGTTGAATATTCAAGATGTGTCTTATACATAAAGAATGTGTCTGGTTGTTGTTTTAAGCTTTTGGAAATAGAGAAGGAGTGATTCTATAAAGGACACTTGGTATACTTCAACCTGTAGTACATTTTATTTTTTTTATTTTAATCAATCAAATCAATTAATTAATTAATTAATTAATATATATTTTGAGACAGAGTCTCCTTTGTTGCCTGGGCTAGAGGTGAGTGCCATGGCCGTCAGACTAGCTCACAGCAACCTCAAACTCCTGGCTCAAGCAAATTCTTCTGCCTCAGCCTCCCGATAGCGTTGGGACTACAGGCATGCGCCACCATGCCGCGGCTAATTTTTTCTCTATATATTAGTTGGCCAATTAGTTTTCTTTCTATTTAATAGTAGAGACGGGGTCTACATCTTCCTCAGGCTGGTTTCGAACTCCTGACCTCAAGCAATCCGCCCAACTCGGGCTCCAGAGTTGCTAGGATTTATAGGCGTGAGCCACCGCACCTGGCCTATAGTAAATTTTAAGTGCTCATTTTGTACCTTCACTGTGTCTCACTTCTGGTTCTGTGATATCATAGGACATTTAGGACTTAACTTGTGTCAGTGATTCTTTCTTTATTATGACAAAGCTGGAATCAATGAACGCATGCTTTTTAAAAGATTTTGGAGAAAAATTTAGTGTTCACTTTGATCATCTAGAATAGTTATCTTGACTTTTTTGACTGTGTCAGAAAGGTCAAAATTTGAACCTCTATCAAGAGTGTTCAAGTAAAACAGAGCAAAAAACAAACCAAACAACCAACAAGAAAAAGATGTTCAGTAGATTGTTCTGTGTGTTTTTGGGAAGAGGTGTTAACTTCTTAAAGAAATAGCTTTAAAGATTTTTGAGTAGTTGCACCCTATCTTTTCGAAATAAATGCTAGATCATATTAAAATGATTGTGGTTGAAATAAACTGACATTGCAATTTCTTGTGTATCAAGTGATAGAAAACCGTACTGTGAGGTAATAGACAACCATTTTGGAAAGCAATCGTAAGGAGTGTTTAGAAATATCTGATTGTGATATAGGAAACAATACGATTTATTTTCGTGGGTTTCATCCTAGAATCGTTGGAAGCCTCCTGAGGGCAGGGCTTTTTTTTTTGTCCCTGTTTTTGTTTCTGGGCCATGTCATAGTAACTAAACCAAATGCCTGCAACATAGGAGGAAAAGTATTCCAGTAAATACTTTGTTTTTGTGAATGAATGTAAATGCATTGATTATCCATTAGTTTAAAATATAATTTATTCTTGTTTAAATTGTAACTGTGGTAAACGCTAAATCCTACGTAAACTGTGTAAGCCTGAAAACAGTAAAAAGTTTGTTTCTTGCTGAAAATTTTCCGATCAAATAAAGATTTATGACTAAGAACCGACTTCCAATTAGTTTATGCGTTGCTTAGCAATTTCTACACACAAAATATATTCTTTTTGTTTATGCTTTACCGATAATAACACCTGCCATTTTATTTTTGTTTTTCTCTAGGCTTTTATTTTGTTTTGAATGTGTTGCGCATACAATTTTTTCTATTTGATCCCTAAATCAGAATTACGTTGAGAAAGGCTGGGGGCAGCTGCCAAATTGGACGAAATTTTGTTTCTTCACCGTAGAAATGAAATCTCGTCAAATATTTAGGTAAAGATGATTGTGTTCTTTTGACAGAAATTAAAAAACAGAGAGAGCTTTTAAATTGCTGGGTATTTTGTTTCAATTTATTTTGTAAGTAATGTTAATCTTTTTTTCTAGGACTGAAAGGCTTCTTAACCTATGTTATTCAGGCAGGATCGCGTGAACTCTGGGCTCTTCAACATCAGATGACAAGTAATTGGAATGTTTAGATCATGCGCTGATCCTATTATTAAAAGAGAGGGTAAACTGTATTTTTGAATAAGTAACAATGAAATATTAACAATTTTAAACTTCTTTTGTTGTATGTCTGAGAGAGGTTAAAAAGTGGTGCGAGGCCAGAGTGTGGTGTGGATGTTGGCAGCATATACTATTTTTAACGTTTTGAATGCATGGTAATTCTTTTACTAAAGGTTAGTAACTTTTTTGTGTTTTGGGAGACAGAGTCCCTTACTGCTGTTTGGCTAAGCTACGAGTGGCGTGTGGCATCAGGGCCTAGCTCACAGCAACCTCCAAACTCCTGGCGCGCCTGCGAGGTTTGTCGCTGTCTTAGCTCCCGAAGTAGCTGAGTAGCTGGACTCAGCAGGCACATGCCACCACGCTGACTGAATTTTTTTTTTTTTTCTAATTGTTTAGTGGAAGAACAGGGGTCTTGCTCATGGCCCAGGCTTGGTTCTTGAACATCCTAGAGCATCAAACGTTTTCTGCCTGCTCAGCCTGTCACAGAGTGCTAGGATTTACAGGGCGTGAGCCACTTGTGGCCCAGACCGCTAAGTAACTTTTCAAAGAAGTAACTGTTCAGTGTCGCCACAGTGTATGTTTTCAAATGAATGAGTTGTTAGGATAGGTCCAGTTCATCTATGTGGGTTCATTAATACCTTGTTTGATCTAGCATTATACATAAGAAATCTTGAATTTTTGTCCTAGTCGTTCCTGGTTAGTAACAATTCAAGAATGTACTACTGTTATGTATATAGATTTAAGTGTAATTTATGATAATTAGTATTTGTTCATTATTCTCTGTTTACATCTTGTAAAATTGAGATAATAATTCCTTATTAATATAGATAGGATGTTGAAAAAATTAGTGGAAGATATCCAGCGAAATGATCTGAAACTTGGAAGGCAAAAGTATAATAATGTATTTAACTTGTTTTTCATCTTTTTCCTTTTATAAAATTGCTTCAGTGTGTAATTGGGTGTCTATATAAATATTTCTGTTAATAATTCTTATATAACAAATACTCTATATGTTTGTTGAAAATGGTATATGGAACTTAGGAGTAAAAAGTTTTATTTCTGATTGTAATAAAGATAAAAAGGATCTGCTACACGTGTAAATATCTTAAAAGTAATAAGTTAGAAATAGGAGAGTTTATTGAGAGAACAATAATTGTAATTTTTGAAGATTATGAATTTTGATTTTAAAAGGCATTTTTGAGAAATTAGCCTTTATATATATATTTCTTTTAATTCATATTTTTAATCATCTGACAATTTTTACCTGTCTTGAATGAATCTTGGAGGCTTCCAGATATACTCATTTCTTTGTGTAGGCATTGTAGAAAAATGAGAAGGATCTAAGGGACAATAACAAATAGCTATATGGCTGTATATGCATTCCGATAGTCCCAATTTCCCTTCCACTTTAACACATACGGAGCATGCATTCCCTCTGTGTAGTTGACTACTAAGTTGAACAAGGTTGACTTGGATACAGTTTTATTTTTGCTGTATATAGTCCCTCTTTATCCACAGGATACATTCCAAGACCCCCAGTGGATACCTGAAACTGTGGATAGTACTGAACCTTATATATAATATGTTTATATATACCTATGTATGTAAGATTTCACTGAATCTTAAATATACTATGTTTTCGTATGATAACCAAGATAGCTACTACGTGACTAATGAGTTAGTAGCATATATAGTACATACATGTACGGTAGGATACACTAGACAAAGGGATGATTCATGTCTCACTTGGGATGTGAGATTGGGGTTTGAGATTCCACCATGCTACTCAGAATGGTGCATAATTTAAAACTTATGAATTGTTAATTTTGGGATTTTTCATTTAATATTTTTGAAACTGTGGTGGACTGTGATAATGGAAACTGCAGAAAGCAAAGCTGTGGATGGCAGGAGACTACTGTATTTAATTATTATGTTCTCACTTAAAGATGCGAGTCAAAGGGAAAATAGGCAACTTCTAAAATTATCAAGTTTGATCCATTCCCTGCAGTGGAAAAAATAGTTTTAATTCATTGGGGAAGGTGCTGAGTATCACTGGTGCCCAAAGAAGGCGCTGAAGTACTGTCTCCTCAATGCTATTGTCACTTCTAACTTCTATCAGTAATGATATGGCAAGGACTTTGGTCCTTGTGTGTGGGGTGACCTGTTGGTTGGGGTGGGATTCCCTTTTACCTGGTTTTGTTAACACTCTTTCATACAGGGAGAGAGAAGGCAAGAAGAAGCTACCAAAGCTGAACAGAAAAGAACTCTAGCAGTACAATTCCTAACACCATTTACCTCACCCCCATTAAGTCCTAGAAATGCCAAATTTTAGGGTCTTAGAGTAGGAAATAAATTTGGTGTATATTATCTAACAATATATAACATATAGTTTGGAGTCCGCAGGGAGCATGTCTGAAGCAGCTGTATAAATTGAAAGCTATGGATGGGGGAGACCTTTGTGTTTATATTAAATAGATTTAAATGGAGTCAAGCATTAACTAAAACAGTTTTAAAAAAAAAAAATCTTTTAATATATGTCATCTTTATACTTGAAGTCCTGACTGTAGAGATTGAGAAATTAGAAAGAACCCTAAAGATATTGTGAACAGGTTTGATAAATAGGGTATGTGAAAATTCTCTTACAGCTAATATTGCTGATCCTAAAACACCAATAAATATTTCTTTCTCAGTATTGCCTTTCAACTCACATTGATTTCTAGGAGTTTATTTTTAGAACCTTAATCTGGGGCCTTGGAAAGCAAGCCAAATGGGAGCTTACTCTGGTACTGGTCTTCCTAGTGTCAGCAAGAGGTGTATTCATCATTGTTTAGAAAGTAGCTGTAAATCCTTCTTAGGGAGAGGCAAAGATATACAATGTAACCAAAATGTTAAAACAAAACAAAACAAACAAAAAAAACTTTTTCGCTCGTGGTGGGCAGGCAGGAGTGGGGAGGAGGAAAGGATGTATGTTTCCATAACGTGTGCAATGCACACCACCAGGGGATTGGACATTTCGGGGGGAGGTGGCAGGAGCAATATTTGTAACCCTAACAATATTTGTACCTCCATCATATGATGAAATAAAAAAAAAAAAGTAGCTATAAAACAGTTCTTCCTTGATGCCTGAGATTCTGAGTATAGGTTTTGCTAGGCTTTAACATGCTTGAGCCATCAACCTTTGTCCATCAATTAAAAGCCGTTTGCCCTCAATTGTGAAACCCAGTCAAGTGCTGTTTTTTGTTGTTTGGGTAGCGTGGGAAACATAGTTTGCAAGATTGAATTTATACACAGAGCCACACACACGTGTACACACACATACCCATAGGCATAAGTAATGTACACTTAAAAACTGTTATGTTTTTAGAAAATATATTGTAAACCTTTTAACTTTTTAGTCTTTACATGTTCTGTCATGTAGAAATGTCAGATTGAAATTATCTATCTCTATAGAAAGCTTTTAGACTTTTGAGAATTGATCATAATTCATTTTTTGACAATAATTTTACCTTAAGTTTTATTTTAGTTAGAATTTGCATTTTTGTTCACCTGTTAACTTACTGTCCAGTAGAGGTACATAAAAGTATAAGAATCAACTGTATGATAAACATATATGTTAACTATATTTATTGGTGTTATGCATAGTTTTATAATACTGTTTTTAATTTCTTTTCTTTAAATAGACTCTGGAACTTCTTTACAGAATTACTAATGCACAGAATATAACAGTTATTGTCCAGAAAATGCTTGAATATTTACATCAGAGCAAAGAAGAATATGTCATTGTCAATTTGGTTGGTAAAATAGCTGAGCTGGCTGAGAAATATCCTTTGTCTGGACCACAACTCTTAAAATACTTAGTTACACAGTGATTTTAAAATGATTGGTATAGATATGGTGACTTGTAAATTGAGTTCAGGAACCAGCAATAACTTCCATTCCTGATTTTAATCCTTTCTTGTCAAAAACAGGAGTTTGTATAGACTTCTTAGGGGGTGGCTTTTTTCCTGGTTTCTTTCATTCCGGTAGTCAGTATTTTGAACAAGAAGACACAGGAACCTCTGCCTGGTTTTTCTTTAAGTCCCTCTTCATCCTTGACTTTATTTCTTACTTGATTTCTCTTGCAAGTAAAAGTTCTTGTTTCTTGGAGGGAGTGGGTAGAGTGTGTGTCTGTGTAAGGGGGCCAGGATGCTACCATTTATTCCTTACCCTATTGTTTATGCTAGAAGTTGTCACAGTAAACAGTTGGGAACTCCATTAATATGTCACATTTCTTCACATTTGTTTTTTAAAAGTCAGAGGAACTTTACAGGTCATAAGGATATTCCATTCTTTTTAAAATGTCCATTTAATACTAAGAAAGAATAGGTGAATAATGTTAATCAAATTGGAAATTGCTTTAGTTTTGTCCTAGACAGTGCTATAATTCTGGTCAGCAGAATGACAGAATTTTAGAACTGACGAGGAACAGATTAGAAAAGATTTTGAACAACTTGTTCCAGTAGATGCACCACAGTATTTAGCCCCCTTGAAGTGTATATAATATTTCACTGTTTGTCCCTAGTTAGCTATTTCGTTTCTATCAGTTATTTCATATTTATTTACCAGATGCCTATTATATGCAAGCCCGGTGCTAAAGTGACATAAACTCAGTTTATTAAGTTTATTAAATAAGTTTTTACTAAGCACCTATTTTATGTACAATTGGGGTATAAAACAATTTATGGCAGGGGTTAAAGATAAAAATGCCACACTAGGATGAATTGGGGTTATTTTTGAAAAGGTTGCTACAGAAGGATAATTTTAATAAGTGGCATTTGGAAGTGTACTTGTTCTTAACACTGTGGACACATATGCTCCTGATAATGCGTGGTTTATTCAGACAATGAATGCTGTGTTTTCCGTGGGAGGAGATGTAATGCATCCTGATATTCCCAATAACTTTCTGAGACTACTAGCGGAAGGTTGGTAAACTATTACATTCTGTAAAGTGAAGATTTTAAAATTAAATGCTTTAATTTCAGAGTCCTAGGAGAATTTAGTGGAAATTAAAATGGTATATCAATTTCTTTATAGGTTTTGATGATGAGACAGAAGATCAACAATTAAGAATCTATGCAGTTCAATCTTACCTCACTTTATTAGATGTGGAAAATGTGTTTTATCCACAGAGATTTCTTCAAGTTATGAGTTGGGTAAGGAAAATACATTACATCATAAATTTATAACATTGTTTTTTATGAAAACCAAATTTCAACATGTTTTCTTCAGAAATCAGTTCTAATCAGCTAACTCCTCCGGCTGTCAGTTTTCTTTTCCAGCGGCTACCTTCTATCACTTGACTATTGTCCATTTTTTTTTACTTTGCCATGTCACTTATCTAGTCTTTCAAATACGGATATTTGTTATCTTTTTGCATTTACAGTGTGCTTGTTGCGTTTTTTATGTAAGTCCATGTTTGAATATGTGAATACTCATTTGTCTGTGCTATATTAGTTTTCTTATGTTGAATACCAATGTTACCACAAACTCAGTGGCTTAAAGCAACACAAATTTATTATCTCACAGCTTCTGTAGGTCAGGATTTCAGAAATGGCTTAGCTGGGTGCTCTGCTTAGAGTCTCACAGGGTTGCTGCCAGGGTGTTGGCTAGAGCTGCTGTCTTAGCTGAAGCATGACTGGTAAGGGATCCACTTCCAAGCTCATGTGTGGGTGTTGTCAGAATTCATTTTCTTGTGGCTGAATTTTTGTCACTGAGGGTTTCACTTTCATACTGTCAACTGTAGGATGCCCTTAGCTGCCTTCAATTTCTTGCCATGTGGGCCTCCCAATGTGTGTGTGCACATATATATTTTAACTTTTGAATGCATGTAATTCTTTTTACTAAAGGTTAAGTAACTTTTTTTTTTTGGAGACAGAGTCTTACTCTGTTGCCTAAGCTAGAGTGCTGTGGCATCAGCCTAGCTCACAGCAACCTCAAACTCCTGGGCTCCTGCGATTGTCCTGTCTTAGCCTCCCGAGTAGCTGAGTAGCTGGGACTACAGGCACGTGCCACCACGCCTGACTGAATTTTTTTTTTTATTTTTAGTGGAGACAGGGTCTTGTCATGCCCAGGCTGGTCTTGAATCCTGAGCTCAAACGTTCTGCCTGCCTCAGCCTCACAGAGTGCTAGGATTACAGGCGTGAGCCACTGTGCCAACCCTAAGTAACTTTTCCAAAAGTACTGTGTTCAGTGTCCACAGGTATGTTTTAAATGATGAGTTGTAAGGATTAGGTCCAGTTATCTATGTGGGTTCATTAATACCTTTTTAATCTAAGCATTATACCAATAAGAAATCTGAATTTTTGTCCTAGGTCTTCCTGTTAGTACAATTCAAGATGTACTACTGTTATGTATATAATTTAAGATGTAATTTATGATAATTAGTATTTTTCCATTATTCTCTTTTACATCTGTAAAATGAGATAATGAATTCCTTATTAAATAGATAGGAATGTTGAAAAAATTAGTGAAGATATCCACAAAATGATCTGAACTTGGAAGGAAAAGTATAATAATGTATTTAACTTGTTTTTCATCTTTTTCCTTTTATAAAATTGCTTCAGTGTGTAATTGGGTGTCTATATAAATATTTCTGTTAATTCTTATATAACAAATACTCTATATGTTTGTTGAAAATGGTATATGGAACTAGAGTAAAAAGTTTATTTCTGATTGTAATAAAGATAAAAGGATCTGCTACACGTGTAAATATCTTAAAAGTAATAAGTTGAAATAGGAGAGTTTATTGAGAGAACAATAATTAATTTTGAAGATTATGATTTTGATTTTAAAAGGCATTTTTGAGAAATTAGCCTTTATATATATATTTCTTTAATTCATATTTTAATCATCTGACAATTTTTACCTGTCTTGAATGAATCTTGGAGGCTTCCAGATATACTCATTTCTTTGTGTAGGCATTGTAGAAAAATGAAGAGGATCTAAGGGACAATAACAAATAGCTATATGGCTGTATATGCATTCCGATAGTCCCAATTTCTCTTCCACTTTAACACATACGGAGCATGCATTCCCTCTGTGTATTGACTACTAAGTGAACAAGGTTGACTTGGATACAGTTTTTTTTGCTGTATATAGTCCCTCTTTATCCACAGGATACAATCCAAACCCCAGTGGATACCTGAAACTGTGGATAGTACTGACCTTATATATATATGTTTATATAACTATGTATGTAAGATTTCACTGATCTTAATATACTATGTTTTCGTATGATAGCTACTATGTGACTAATGAGTTAGTAGCATATATAGTACATACATGTACGTAGGAACACTAGACAAAGGGATGATTCATGTCTCACTTGGATGTGAGATTGGTTTGAGATTCCACCATGTACTCAGAATGGTGCATAATTTAATTATAATTGTTAATTTTGGGATTTTTCATTTAATATTTTTGAAACTGTGGTGGACTGTGATAATGGAAACTGCAGAAGCAAAGCTGTGGATGGCAGGAGACTACTGTATTTAATTATTATGTTCTCACTTAAAGATGCGAGTCAAAGGGAAAATAGGCAACTTCTAAAATTATCAAGTTTGATCCATTCCCTGCAGTGGAAAAATGTTTTAATTCATTGGGGAAGGTGCTGAGTATCACTGGTGCCCAAAGAAGGCGCTGAAGTACTGTCTCTCAATGCTATTGTCACTTCTAACTTCTATCAGTAATGATATGGCAAGGACTTGGTCCTTGTGTGGGGTGACCTGTGTTGGGGTGGGATTCCCTTTTACCTGGTTTTGTTAACACTCTTTCATACAGGGAGAGAGATGGCAAGAAGAAGCTACCAAAACTGAACAGAAAAGAACTCTAGCAGTACAATTCCTAACACCATTCACCTCACCCCATTAAGTCCTAGAAATGCCAAATTTAGGGTCTTAGAGTAGGAAATAAATTTGGTGTATATTATCTAACAATATATAACATATAGTTTGGAGTCCGCAGGAGCATGTCTGAAGCAGCTGTATAAATTGAAAGCTATGATGGGGAGACCTTTGTGTTTATATTAAATAGATTAAATGGAGTCAACGTTAACTAAAACAGTTTTTTAAAACAAAAATCTTTTTATGTCATCTTTATACTTGAAGTCCTGACTGTAGAGATTGGAGAAATTAGAAGAACCTAAAGATATTGTGAACAGTTTGATAAATAGGGTATGTGAAAATTCTCTTACAGCTAATATTGCTGATCCAAAACACCAATAATATTCTTTCTCAGTATTGCCTTCAACTCACATTGATTTCTAGGAGTTTATTTTTAGAACTTAATCTGGGCCTTGGAAAGCAAGCCAAATGGGAGCTTACTCTGGTACTGGTCTTCCTAGTGTCAGCAAGAGGTGTATTCATCATTGCTTAGAAAGTAGCTGTAATCCTTCTTAGGGAGAGGCAGAGATATAAATGTAACCAAAATGTTAAAACAAAACAAACAACAAAAAAACTTTTCGCTGTGGTGGGCAGGCAGGAGTGGGAGGAGGAAAGGATGTATGTTTCCATAACGTGTGCAATGCACACCACCGGGGATTGGACATTTCGGGGGGAGGTGGCAGGAGCAATATTTGTAACCCTAACAATATTTGTACCTCCATCATATGATGAAATAAAAAAAAAAAAGTAGCTATAAAACAGTTCTTCCTTGATGCCTGAGATTCTGAGTATAGGTTTTGCTAGGCTTTAACATACTTGAGCCATCAACCTTTGTCCATCAATTAGAAGCCATTTGCCCTCAATTGTGAAACCCAATCAAGTGCTGTTTTTTGTTGTTTGGGTAGCGTGGAAACATAGTTGCAAGATTGAATTTATACACAGAGCCACACACACGTGTACACACACACTACCCATAGGCATACAGAGCCACCGCACCCGGCCTGTAGTACATTTTAAGTGCTCATTTTGTACCTTCACTGTGTCTCACTTCTGGTTCTGTGATATCATAGGACATTTAGGACTTAACTGTGTCAGTGATTCTTCTTTATTATGGCAAAGCTGGAACTCATGAACTCATGCTTTTTAAAAGATTTTGAGAAAAAATTTAGTGTTCACTTTGATCATCTAGAATAGTTATCTGACTTTTGACTGTGTCAGAAAGTCAAATTTGAACCCTATCAAGATGTTCAGTAAAAAGACAAAGAAAAACAAACAAACAACAACAAAAAAAGATGTTCAGTAGATTGTTCTGTGTGTTTTGAGGTTAATTTTAAAGAAATAGCTTAAAGATTTTTGAGTAGTGACCCTATCTTTGAAATAAATGCTAGATCATATTAAAATGATTATGTTGAAATAAACTACATATGCAATTTCTGTGTATAAGTGATAGAAACTACTTGAGAATAAACCATTTGAAAGCATTCAAGGAGTGTTAGAAATATCTATTTATATAGGAACAATACATTATTTCTGGGTTCATTAGAATGTGAGCTCCTTGAGGGCAGGGCTTTTTGTCTGTTTTGTTTACTGCCGTATCCATAGTACTAAACCATGCCTGGCACATAGGAAGTATTCAGTAAATACTTGTTTTGTGAATGAATGTATGATTATTATCCATTAGTAAATATAATTATTTTTAAATTGTACTGTGGTAACCTAATCCTAGTAACTGTGTAAGCCTGAAAACAGTAAAGTTTGTTTCTTTGATAAATTTCCATCAATAAGATTTTTGACTAAAACCGACTTTCCAATTAGTTTATCTTGCTACAAATTCTACACAAATATATTCTTTTGTTATGCTTTACCATAATACCTGCCATTTTTATTTTGTTTTCTCTAGCTATTTTGTTTGAATGTGTGCATACAATCTATTCTATTTATCCTAAATCAGAATTACTTGAGAAGGCTGCCAAGTGCATTGGAAAATTTGTTCTATCACCTAGAATAAATCTCAAATATTTAGGTAAGATGATTGGTTCTTTTGACAGAAATTACAGAGAGAGCTTTTAAATTTGCTGGGTATTTGTTTCAATTTATTTTGTATAATGTAATCTTTTTTTCTAGGACTGAAGGCTCTTACCTATGTTATTCAGCAGGATCCTACTCTGGCTCTTCAACATCAGATGACAATAATTGAATGTTTAGATCATCCTGATCCTATTATTAAAAGAGAGGTAAACTGGTATTTTGAATAATGTACATGAAATATTAAC